TTTGATAGTGTTTGAGCGCGTGAAATCCGCAGCTTGCACTGTATGCTTCCGCAGAAGCTGAGAATGTTTCTGAGTGTTCTCAGAGGGTCTGCTGGGGTAATAATAGTTGTAAAGCGCATAGAGCAGGCTCTTGAGCATGGATATGCGCTATATAAATGCAATTATTATTATTATTATTATTATTAACTGACTGCATGACTTAAAGACAACAATAGTAGTAAAAACGAAAAACAAAAATACTTTTTCCATTTTTTATTAAGGTTTTAATAATTATGTACATTATATTCTATCATAAGAGAAAAAACCGGTACCGGTATTGGAAATTCCTCGATTTCAACTAAACGCTTCTCTAGGAATAATCCAGACTATTCAATGTTTTTTTAGGCTCACTTATGCATTACCGTACACTTTAACACCAATAAAACAAAACAAAGTCAAGCTGGCCGTCTTAAACTTGATCGAAGTCAATCAGTAACTGTGTAGGGTCAGAACACCAACAGGTCAGTAGACAAGAGACAATAACAGAGATTGCGCTTCAGAAATTGCTTACGGAGAACAATGACAAACGGTCTGTCAGTCTCTAGTTACCACTAAGCATTTGCAAGCACGATGGGAAAATGATTCACTTTCAATGAGTCTTTCTGAACTACTTCTAACCCGCAAAAGACATGAGATTAACGCACAATGTTCTCTACTTTTCCCCTGTTTTCCCAACTTGGTTCTATTGGTGGAAAATTTAGTCTGAAAAGAGAAATGCTTACAATGCAAGGTACAGCAGCAATTCCCTTACACCGAAAAAAAACCCCACCATAACATTTTCAACAATATGAGAAGAAAAAAAAAAAGAAACAAATTAAGGACAAAAACCTTTTTTGTTAAACTTTTTTGTAAAAAGTTTCTTTAGTCAACATCCAGTATTGAATGTTTCGATTAAAAAAAAAACATCCCCACATGAGATACCACTACATCTCGTCACCAGCAGGTCCGAAAAATTCTCCCATCCTTTCAGCACAAATGTACGGGTCACACACGCACAAAAATGACAAGCCGATCATCACAAGGATATTTAGTAAAAAAAAACAAAAAAAACAAAGAAACAAAACAAAAAAGTTCCTAGATGATGATCTCTTGCTCTCCGATGTCTTCGTCTGACGGCAGAGCTATCGACTCCGGGTTGGTGTAGTTCGGGTCCACCAGGGGGAGACCTTGCCGCTCTCTGCGCTCAAGCTCAAGGAACGCTTCTCTCTGGCACCAGTCGGCAAATCTGAAAAAAAAAAAAAAAAAGGAGATTGAGAACAAAACCTTTTAAATACCTCCCGGAAGGTAGTCCATTGATGCCGAAGAAACAATGTTATTGCATTTAGAGACCCCACTTCTCATTATTGTCAGCCTCCGCTACTAAAGCATATACAGTTACAAGCACGCACATACTGAAATCGGCGGAACATGGAAATCTTTTCATATGAACAAATTTCGCTATATGTACATGTTTAGAATACACAGAATTAATAGTGTATACCAGGTAAAAAAAATTCAGGTCCCGAAAAGCTGTTTGCTATATATATAGGAGGCCTTTACTATATGCGTGTAATAATTTCAAAAAGGCAATTGTGAATGTTTTATGCCCCTATTGACACAACTATCGTCATTTAGGAGGCAGGTTGTTTTGACCCTGTCTGTCAGGGAAAATCTTGGCAGAGACGAATAGAAAACTAAGCAGACATACATAGATGTACCCTGGATAAAAAAATTCTCCCCACACATGAACCGAACTCATGTCTTCCGCGTGTGACTGTGAAGAGTGTAACTGTTTCACACCACAGACACTGATGCAATCGCCTGTTCAACTTTATTTTTAGACAAAGACCAGCGCAGTTATTATCAATGACAAACCTTTTCATTACGGCCATGCCACAATCGACAATGTGCTGGTCTGAAGGTTGCCCCCACAATAAATAACCAAGAACGTAGTGGGTGTTTCGTACAGTACAGTGGAATCTGCTTAAACCGAAATCTGCTGCACTGCAGGTTTTCTTCGGTTCAGCCATGTTTGCAGTTGAGATTAAGAGAGATTCCTCAAATTACGAAAAAGAACAAAACAACAACCGGGGATTGTATTTTGTTTCTCTGTCCAACTGTTTTCAGATTAACCATGTCCTGTTTCAGCAGACTCCAATATACTTGGTGATTAAATGCACACTGAGCCTCCTTCTTTCGAATAATAATTTTGTCTCTGTATTGGTATGTGTGTAGAAGATATAAATATAATACATATGTGACAAGATCTCAAACTTTTTTGACATGACACCCCTTGCAACTTAAAAGTTCTAATTCAAAGTTCCAACTGCCACCTCCCCCCAATTTTTTCCCCATTCAAAATCTTCCACAAAAAATACTTCAATACTAGGTTGCAAATCAAAATGGACTGCCTTTCTCTCTGAATTCAGTGCCATTCTAGCATACCCCAAAAGGCAGAGAGGTATGATTGTAATCATAGTTGTAGATGTTACATGCTCCCTTCGACACTGTTTAGAGACAAGAAAATATGAGGCAGGCTCCTTAGGTGTGAGAAGTGGGCTGCTTCGACTCTGCCTGTCAGGGCCAAGAAGGGCTGAGAGGGATACAACCTCCCAGCAGAAGACAAAGTTAAGATACTAAATAAAGTTTCTCCCAACACAGGAATCGAACTTGTGTATTCTGTGTGCAATTGCGAAGCACCTAGCCACTGCACCACAGATGCCAGTAAAGAGAAAAACAGAGTTATGGCAGGCTCTTTGATAAAATATCTTCTCCGCAGGGGGAATTGAATTCACATATTGTATGTTTATGCAAGGCAAGACGAACCTAACAATAAACCCACAGAGATCACGTGTACTTACTTCATGTCCGGCATGTAAGACAGTATGAAGCCACCCCAGCAGACACCAACAGTCACTGTGGCAAACATGAAGAAATGGTGGTAAAACCAGTCGCTGTCCCGATCCCCTGGCTCATAGCCGTATGATGTCCAGTTCTGAAGACAGAAAAAGAAAAGTTGTGACATCAAAAGGATCAGTTACTATGCATGCAGTAAAACTGTGATATAATTTTTAAAAACTTCACAGGACCTGAGAATTTGTGTTTAGAAAGGAGCTTGTGAAAAAAGTGTGTGTGGGGGGGGGGGGAGGAGGAAGGCAACTCCTTTCTTTATCTACTTTGTTCAGGTCTAATGATCTTTACCACCGTAAAATTCTTTGATCATAAATGTAAACAAGACTGCAACAAGAAGTAATCCATCCACCCATACACGTCAATTGTGTAATGAAATGCCCCCATCTTTGGTATAAAAATGCCCTCAAAACTGTCTTTACCGTGGCCAATCAGGGGGGACTTACACTACGTAGTAGAGCGTGGCTGATTAGGCGGGAGTAATGGTAGACCAAGGTAGCATGAGAGACCTCTGGTCCAGCTAAACCAGCACCACTAAATTTTATAACAAATGGAACTGACCAATTACAGAAACACATTTTTAAAAGATTTTGGTTATTTAAGGTCAAAAAGAACAAATCATGGAATTGATAAATTATAGCTGCATTATAAAGATATAGGAAAAATTGTTCTAAAAGAACTGCATCGAGTGATGTTAGAAAATGATAAAATTTTACCTTCGGACCCGCATGCAGATGCATGGTTTTGGGGACTAAACTGCTGTATTTTTTTTTTAATTTCGCTGCAGAACAAGGCCACTAATCCCTCGCAAGTCATTTGTTTTCAAGAAAATATCAAACCTAATTTTCTCAAACATCAAATTAAACAATGCCCCTCCAATTTTTTTTAGGTCGGGGGAGCAACCCCACGACAACCTCCATGGATAATTCAAAACAAAGTCAAGTGAATTAGGACTATTAGTATTACTAATTACAATTACAACCTGCACAGTCAGGCCTATTGTAGTTCGAAAAAACATCCACACATCTCATAAACTCATAATATAATTTGCAGTCGTTATAAAATCAAAATTCAGGTAAAGCAAATAAAAATGATCAAGAAAAGTGTTTTACAACTGAGGATCATGAATGAAACAGTCTCTAGGGAATCTATCTCTAATTTTTAAACCGGGTCCGAAAAAAATTAGGTTACCAAAAAAAACAATATACTGAGAAGAATAAATACCGCGACCAAGAGAGTCCTCCGAACACATGGAACTTTTTAAAAAAATTAATTTAACAATACCATTGTTACATTGTAGGTCTCTATATTTTCCTGGCTGCAAACTGGGTTGAGCCTGAGCCTCTCTGAACTCACTGACTACTGGCCCCTTTCACCAGTCACCAGCGCTGCGTACTGGCATTTTTGGGGGTACAGTCAAACCTGTGTAAGACGGCCACCCATTGTCAAGGAGAAAAGTAGCCGTATAAGACAAGTGGCCGTCTTAGGCAGGACTGATCAAGATGAAGAAAACAAACCATTCCCATCTGAGGTCCCAATCGAAAGTAGCCGCATTGTTGTTGTTAGTGGTGGTGGTTTGTATTTTGTTTGTAATTTTTATTTTGTTGCTGATTTTGCACAAGGGTGACAATAAAATGAAATGTATCAGACGAGGAAGACCGAGTGCCATGTTATTAAAACAAACACATAGGTCGTCACCACTCGGAGAACGAGCGACGCTTCTGTCACAAGTTCATGTTGACATCTTTTGTTACT